GGGATGACAGATCCCGATCCGAGCGGGGACGGATGGGATGGACAGATCCGGATGGGATGACAGATCCCGATCCGAGCGGGATGGATGGGCAGCTATCAGGAGTAGGCGAGGTCAGACTAGCCGTGGTCGGTATTGTGCGGGCAGCGTGGTACGGGGGGAGTAAGCGGAGAATGGTCGGGGTCACAAGCCAGGTTCAGCAGGTAGCGGGCAGCGCGGTGCAGGAGGTCAGGCAGAAGGATGGTCAGGGACGAGCCGGGGTCAGAGCAGGAGAAGGTCAGCATAAACAGAACAGGCAGAGTTTGGCAACAAGGAGCGTACTTACAGGAACAGGAACGAGACCTTGCGGCAATTTTGGAGATGCACAGGCAGCTTTAAATAGGGCGCCCTGCTCTCCCATTGGTGCGGCCGCGATCGCTACTGCGCATGCGCGGCCGCCGCGATCGCCGAGGATTCTGCGCTCGCCGGCTGGGACGGATCGGCGGTCTGCGCATGCGCGCGCGCCGCCGAGGACCCGGGATCCCTGACAGGTACCTAAAAATCTCCATAGGCGACGCTTTCAAAATCTTTACAAGTTACCAGTTTTATGGTTACAGAGGAGATCTGGCGCTAGAATTATTGCTCTCGTTCTGACGTTCGCGGCGATACCTAACATGTGTGGTGCGACTGGGGCGCTTTAAAAAAATGTTTTTTTATCTTATTTATTTTATTTTTATACAGTTCCTTTTTTTAAAAAATCACATTTTATTCCTATAACAGAAATAAGCACGACAGGTCCTCTTTTTTTTGCAAAAAAAAAGTCTTAGAACCCTCAAACATGATATATTCTCAAAGCAGAGGCCCTATAGAATAAATTGGTGGTTTTTGCATTTTTTTATGTCGCGTTATTTGCGCCGCGTGTTTCCAGTACAATTTTTGGGACTGGGGCGCTTTGAAACATTTCTTTCTCTAGTTTATTTTATTTTTTTTATACTGTCCCTTTCTTTCAATTAATTTTTTATTCCTATTATAAGGGACATAAACATTCCTTGTAATATTGCAAAAAAAACCAGTAAATGCATTATCCAATTTTTAGTAAAATATAAAAGAGGATGCTACATCGAATGCCTGATGTAAGGGGGGCACTCTGATGGGAATGCCTGATGTAAGGGGGCACTCTGATGGGAATGCCTGATGTAAGGGGGCACTCTGATGGGAATGCCTGATGTAAGGGGGCACTCTGATGGGAATGCCTGATGTAAGGGGGCACTCTGATTGGAATGCCTGATGTAAGGGGGCACTCTGATTGGAATGCCTGATGTAAGGGAGCACTCTGATGGGAATGCCTGATGTAAGGGGGCACTCTGATGGGAATGCCTGATGTAAGGGGGCACTCTGATGGGAATGCCTGATGTAAGGGGGCACTCTGATTGGAATGCCTGATGTAAGGGGGCACTCTGATGGGAATGCCTGATGTAAGGGGGCACTCTGATGGGAATGCCTGATGTAAGGGGGCACTCTGATGGGAATGTCTGACGTAAGGGGGGCACTCTGATGGGAATTCCTGATGTAAGGGGGCACTCTGATGGGAATGCCTGATGGATGGGGGCACTCTGATGGGAATGCCTGATGTAAGGGGGCACTCTGATGAGATTGCTTGATGTAAGGGGGCACTCTGATGGGAATGCCTGATGAAAGGGGGCACTCTGATGGGAATGCCTGATGTAAGGGGGGACTCTGATGGGAATGCCTGATGTAAGGGGGAACTCTGATGGAAATGCCTAATTTAAGGGGGCACTCTGATGGGAATGCCTGATGAAAGGGGGCACTCTGATGGGAATGCCTGATGAAAGGGGGCACTCTGATGGGAATGCCTGATGAAAGGGGGCACTCTGATGGGAATGCCTGATGTAAGGGGGCACTCTGATGAGGACACTGATGTAAGGGGGCACTCTGATTGGAATGCCTGATGTAAGGGGGCACTCTGATGGGAATGCCTGATGTAAGGGGGCACTCTGATGGGAATGCCTGATGTAAGGGGGCACTCTGATGGGAATGTCTGACGTAAGGGGGCACTCTGATGGGAATTCCTGATGTAAGGGGGCACTCTGATGGGAATGCCTGATGGATGGGGGCACTCTGATGGGAATGCCTGATGTAAGGGGGCACTCTGATGAGATTGCTTGATGTAAGGGGGCACTCTGATGGGAATGCCTGATGAAAGGGGGCACTCTGATGGGAATGCCTGATGTAAGGGGGGACTCTGATGGGAATGCCTGATGTAAGGGGGAACTCTGATGGAAATGCCTAATTTAAGGGGGCACTCTGATGGGAATGCCTGATGAAAGGGGGCACTCTGATGGGAATGCCTGATGAAAGGGGGCACTCTGATGGGAATGCCTGATGAAAGGGGGCACTCTGATGGGAATGCCTGATGTAAGGGGGCACTCTGATGAGGACACCTGATGTAAGGGGGAACTCTGATGGAAATGCCTAATTTAAGGGGGCACTCTGATAGGCACACCTTGTAAGGTGTCACTGTGATGGGGGAAGCTTTTATAATGGGGCATTCTAATGGGGACACCTAATGTAAGGGGGCACTCTGATGAGGACACCTGATGTAAGGGGCACTCTGATGAGGACACCTGATGTAAGGGGGCACTCTGGTGGGAAAGCCTGATGTAAGGGGGCACTCTGATGGGGACACCTGATGTAAGGGGGCACTCTGATGAGGACACCTGATGTAAGGGGGCACTCTGATGGAAATGCCTAATGTAGGGGGGCACTCTGATGGGGACACCTGATGTAAGGGGGCGCTCTGATGGGGACACCTGATGTAAGGGGGCACTCTGATGGAAACGCCTTGTACAGGGGTTGATGGTGGCAACTGATTTATGGGGAAGTCTGATGGTGGCACCGATTTTAATAAATGACTCTGGAGGGGAATCTGATGTAAGGGGGAACACTAATGGGGACATTTATTTTCGGACCTCGGCCAGATGATGATGATTTTAGTTACCGGACCTCCTTGAATTTTCATCCAATACTCCGCCCTACAGAATAAATTGGTGGTTTTTGCACAGCGTGTTTCCAACACAATTTTCGGGAAAAAAATACACTTTTATTGAATTTAATTGCAAGCCGACAGTCGTCTCGTGAGATTTACACATAGAAGTGTGCAGGCCGAGACAAATCTGCTTTGTTTCACTTCGTATCGATTCCTTAAGTCACTTCGTTTTGTCTGGATTTAAGTTTCTCCAATGGATTCGAAGTATTTGAACCGAAATCGAACTGGAAATATCAAACCGAATTTGAATTCATTGCGAAGAACAGTTTGTGCTATTCTATTTGAAATTCAAATTCTTTCTATTTTATTCTATTCTTTTATTTTCTATGCTATTCCATTCTGTTTTACTCTATTCTGCTGTGTTCTTTTCTCTTCAAATTCAAATTTCGGAAGACAGCTATATTCATTGCGAGTGTGAGTCTCCCATTCCTCTGTGTGGGTGGTGCAGCTGCAGGTATCTGTGTGGGTCCCCCATTCCTCTGTGTGGGTGGTGCAGGCTGCAGGTATCTGTGCGGGTCCCCATTCCTCTGTGTGGGTGGTGCGGCTGCAGGTATCTGTGCGGGTCCCCCATTCCTCTGTGTGGGTGGTGCGGCTGCTGGTATCTGTGCGGGTCCCCCATTCCTCTATGTGGGGGGTGCGGCTGCAGATATCTGGGTGGGTCCCCCATTCCTCTGTGTGGGTGGTGCAGCTGCAGATATCTGGGTTGGTCCCCCATTCCTCTATGTGGGTGGTGCGGCTGCAGGTATTTGTGTGGGTCCCCTATTCCTCTGTGTGGGTGGTGCGGGTGCAGATATTTGTGCGGGTCCCCCATTCCTCTGTGTGGGTGGTGCAGCTGCAGGTATCTGTGTGGGTCCTCCATTCCTCTGTGTGGGTTGTGCAGGTATGTGTGTGGGTCCCCCATTCCTCTGTGTGGGTGGTGCAGCATTCAGGTATGCGTGTGGGTGGTGCATTCCCCATTCCTTTATGTGTGGGTGGTGCAGCTGCAGGTATCTGTGTGGGGCTCCTCCATTCCTCTGTGTGGGTGGTGCAAGCTGCAGGTGGGTGGGTCCCCCACTTCTCTGTGTGGGTGGTGCAGGTGAGTATCTGGTGGGTCCCCCCATTCCAGGTCTGTGTGGGTGGGTGCAGCAGGTATCTGTGGGGTATCCTCTGTGTGGGTGGTGCAGCTGCAGGTATTGTGTGGGTCCCCATTCCTCTGTGTGGGTGGTGGATGCAGGTGCTGCCTCTGTGTGGGTGGTGCAGGCTATCTGTGTGGGTATTCCTGTGTGGGTGGTGCAGCTGCAGGTTGGTGCGATAAGTCCCTCATGTGTTGGCGTGGGTCCCCATTCCTCTGTGTGTGGGTGGTGCAAGCTGCAGGTATCTGTGGTGGGTTCCCCCATTCCTCTGTGTGGGTGGATGCAGCTGCAGGGTATCTGTGTGGGTCCCCCCATTCCTCTGTGTGGGTGGTGCAGCTGCAGGTAGTATCTGTGTGGGTCCCCCATTCCCTCTGTGTGGGTGATATCTGAAGAGGTGGGGGACAAATATCTCTGGTGGGTGGTGCAGCTGCAGGTATCTATGTGGGTCCCCCAATTCCTCTGTGTGGGTGGTGCAGATCTTCTGGTAGGTGGTGCAGCTGCAGGTATCTGGGTGGGTCCCCATTCCTCTGTGTCGGTGGTGCAGCTGCAGGTATTTTATTCCTTTACAATATGCAGATGATAATGAGGGCAGAGCGGGACAGTTGTCCGGGGGTGCCCAGACTCCAAGGGGCCCATGGTGTAGGGGGTGCTGAAAGGTTGAAGGGGGACAGGGAACGCGATGCATTTTTCTTGAATGTTTCTCCCCTAAGCGCGTTTGACGCACCTTTTTGGGTGATATTCGTGCGCGCAATTTTTTAAACGTGAATTCTGCGATTCTGTCACCTGACAATCGTGGGAAAGTTGCGCTGCATTTGGGCATCATTCCCGCCGTTATGAATGTGCGATCACGTGTTGCGCCTTTTCGCCGCGATTCCAGATCGCCCCAAGTATGAATGTAATGCCCAAGTAGGTGGGAGGAGAAAACGGGGGCTTTAAAGGGACCCTGTCATGTTGCCCATAACAGCACGGGGGCCCATAAACTGGAAGCAGGCCGGCCCCTCCCCCTACGGGACATTGTATCCATTCCTGCGAGATTTAGGAAAGGGGCCCTGATAGGAGGAGTTGTATCCCGACCTCCGCGCTGTCATTCAGATCACCAATAAATGCACATAAATTATAAACGCCAGGCGGTCCCTCCTGATTGGCCGTAGCGCTCAGGTATTACTCAGGACTGTATTCTTCTCTGTGGACATAAATATCCATTAACATTTATTAGGACGGCGTGCCGCTGCGCCCGGCGGGGAGGGTAGTCATTAACACTTCCACAGGCTTACAGGGCAATCATTTAAAGGAACTCGTCATCTTGTAAAGCTCGTGTGCAGCCTCATCACATCTGTCATGCAGAGTGACTTATTTTTTTTCAGGTTCAGCAAGGAATCCGCTTTTAACTGATTGTGATTTCGGTTTTGTCTGCTGGAAGGTGAGCTTTCGGATTTCATTGGTGGATTCATGACACAAAAGATACAATGTTACATCTCCATAATTATTGTGAATTGCCAATCAGTCCTGGAGTTCTGTGAGCCAAGCCAACATGATGACCACCATGACCCGCCCCTAGGGGCATATAAAGACAGGTGAGTGCCACTAAGTCCTGGAGTTTCTGCGAGCCAATGCCAACATGATGACCCGCCCCCTAGGAGCATGTAAAATTGAGTGCCAATCAGTCTTTGAGGTCTGTGAGCTCAGCCAACATGATGATCCGCCCCCCTAGGGGCCATGTAAAAACGTGAGTGCCAATCAGTCTTGGATTTCTGTGAGCCAAGCCAACATGATGACCCGCCCACTAGGGGCCATGTAAAAATGTGAGTGCCAATCAGTTCTGGAGTTCTGTGAGCTAAGCCAACATGATGACCCGCCCCCCGTAGGGGCCATGTAAAAATGTGAGTGCCAATCAGTTCTGGAGTTCTGTGAGCTATGCCAACATGATGACCCGCCCCCTAGGGGCCATGTAAAAATACGTGAGTGCCAATCAGTTCTGGAGTTCTGTGAGCTATGCCAACATGATGACTCGCCCCCTAGGGGCCATGTAAAAACGTGAGTGCCAATCAGTTCTGTAGTTCTGTGATCTAAGCCAACAGGATGACCCGCCCCCTAGGGGCCATGTAAAAACGTGAGTGACAATCAGTTCTGGAGTTCTGTGATCTAAGCCAACAAGATGACCCGCCCCCTAGGGGCCATGTAAAAACGTGAGTGCCAATCAGTTCTGGAGTTCTGTGATCTAAGCCAACAAGATGACCCGCCCCCTAGGGGCCATGTAAAAACGTGGAGTGCCAATCAGTTCTGGAGTTCTGTGATCTGAGCCACCCCGATGACCTGCCCCTTAGGGGCCTTGAAAAAAATGTGATTGCCACTCGTTCCTGGAGTTCTGCAAGCCATGGTAACATGATGAACCGCCCCCCTAGGGGCCATGTAAAAGAGGTGAGTGCCACTCAGGTCTGGATTTCTGTGAGCCAAGCCAACATGATGACCCGCCCCCTAGGGGCTGTCAGGGATCCCGGGTCCTCACGGCGAGCGGCGCGCGCATGCGCAGACACGCCGATCCGTCCCAGCCGGCGAGCGCAGAATCCTCGGCGATCGCGCGGCACCACGCGCGCGCATGCGCAGTAGCGATCGCGGCCGCACCAATGGGAGAGCAGGGCGCCCTATTTAAAGCTGCCTGTGCATCTCCAAGTTGCCGCAAGGTTCGTTCCTGTTTTTTCCTGTAAGTATGCTTCTGTTGCCAAACTCTGCCTGTCCTGTTTATGCTGACCTTCTCCTGCTCTGACCCTGGACTCGTCCCCTGACCATCCTTCTGCCTGACCTCCTGCACCAGCGCTGCCCGCTACCTGCTGAACCTGGCTTGTGACCCCGACCATTCTCCGCTTACTTCCCCCGTACCACGCTGCCCGCACAATACACGACCCGGCTAGTCTGACCTCGCCTACTCCTGATAGCTGCCCATCCATCCCGCTCGGATCAGGATCTGTCATCCCATCCATCCCGCTCGGATCGGGGTCTGTCATCCCCTTCACAGCAGGCTCTACCCGGCACATACCCTCAGCGGGACCCCTCTGCCACCGCCGGGGGTTGCCCAGGGACGCGACCTGGTTTCAGTCTTGCCTGCCAAGTCCATCCCCACCATCAGGGGACCTGGTGAAAAGGCAGACTGGGGACTTAGACTACGCGTCCTGGGAGACCCCGTGCCGTGGACCACTAGAGATCGTCCGTTGGGCGGAGCCTGACAGTACCTTGCGGCCATGACTGAAGCCTGGAAGGGGAACTTCCCCTCTGGACGACATCTGTCGTCAGATGGAGACCTGATTACACTGGGAATTAAGGGGCACTTACAGGAAGGTTATACGGTATTGGACAAGACGCCACGCAGACCTTAGCTACCCATACCAGGGGGTCTGGGGAACCCTTTTAGGAAGACTCCGGGGTTGTTTCCAGCCACTCAGAACCCCGTTTTGTCCCCTCACACCGGAACGTTTTTCCGTGAAGGACCGAAGTTGATTTCTGGGTCCCTTTATGTATACTCCTGTCAGTTATTTTAGACTTTGACCTCCCAGCCTCAGTCATTTTCCTCCGAATATCAGTGGAGGGTAGGGTTCCATTATTTCACCTATACAGGGGGGACCCCAAGACTGTGACCACCGTCTTCGAGAGAAGCGAGATAACCCACTATGTGAAGTCGAGTGAACGGTATATTTTGAGCTATGGCCCTACTTGTATGACGACCCGCTGCGAACTCGCAGACGGCTGACGAAGGCCATATATACACTCAGGCGAGGGTCATTCGGAACAGTGGCAGGATCTATGCCCGCGAATTTCAGCGCGTTGTTGCATTGTGACATGCAAATGGAACGAGGCGGCTCTGCACCACCAGTTCCGCGTAGGGTTAGCTGAACCATTGCAAGGACGAATTGGCGCCTGAATAGTAAACATACCTAGCACTTTGGAAGGCCTGGATTGCTGTTGACTATTTGAAATTGTCCGCTCGAGTTACGGGAGCACAGGCAGCTGGACAAGATGCAACCTAAGGTCAAAGGCATTCAAACTGGAACACCACCCTCAGGCACTATACCCAGTTACATGCTGGCTAGGCCAGTATCAGGTCATGCCATGGATTCGCCTCGTAGACCGGGACCATCCGGGAAGGATCCGAACCGACACATTACGCAAAGCTGAGGAACGCCCTGAGGGCGTCCTTGCCAACCATCTTCTGCCTCTACTGTGGGGGAGCATGCGCCAAGTTGGGTACGTACCTGTCCAGCCAAGAGGGGTAAGGTGCTCGTGTTTTCTCTGTTTTCTCTACAGTCACTTCTATCAGATGTGTGGGCAATACTACTTATCTAGCTATATGGCTGGTACCTGTGTCACTTCAGCATGTCCGGGGAGAAACAGTGGTGACCACGGGCTTATTGTGGATTTCTGGGGCGTGATAGTTGCATCATAGATTTTGACTTTGCTCTAGTTTCAGCAACAAATTCCCTCTACAAAACCAAGGATGGGATGGGTGGGGAATTGTATATGTTTCTAGCAGATGGATCAACCGTAACTTAAGGTCAGGGCGGGGATGGACAAGAGACCCCACTCTATCCGTCTCTACCAATTATCGACCCATCATGAAAGAACTCCTTCGGATTGGACGCCATAGGCATCCCCACTATTTCCATATTATTTTGGGCTCACCTGTGGTTACGGGAGCACATAATCACCCCAGGTGGACTGGAAGGCGGGTGGTTCTCATGCAGTTCCTCTCCCCATAACTGCCAGACAGCATTGCCTCCCTAAAGATTCCCGATTCCACCGGACTTTGTTGTGTTCTAGAGACAGATGCGGAGCTGGCGCAGGTCATTCCGTCAGTTTTACCATAATTTTCTGGACGTGTTTAGCAAAGCGGTGGTAGGGGTATGAGGGGACATTCTCCTCCGCCACCGAGCTTATGATCTGCCCAATTGATATCCTCCCGGGTTGACCGGAATCCCATAGTGGGCGGATATTCCTCTTATTCTCAGAGCGGGAGTTAGGGGTTACTAAAAGGGAGTATATAGATGAAAAAACAAACAAAACTACATAATGGGTTTATTAGACCCTCCACGTCACCAGCCGGTGGCGGGCATTTGGGTGATGGGCATTTTCTTTGTGGAGAAAAAAAGGACAAGTCCTCCGGCCCTGCGTAGAATTACGGGGACTTGAATAAGGTCCAGTATAGAACCGTTACCCCCGTACCCGACTTGGTCCCCGAGCTGTTTCAGAGGGCTGATGTTCAGCATCTGCTCTTCACTAAAACTAGACTTGAGAGGCTGGCCTTATAATTTAGTTCGTATCAGAGAGGGGGACGAGTGGAAGACAGCATTACGTACCAGATTCGGACATTAGAATTACCGTGGTATTATTTGCCCTTCGGCCTATGCAACGCCCCTGCACACCTTCCATACATTTCATAAATGATGTGGCTTCAGGACTTAC